TAACAAAAGTAGATATTATAGTGACGAGCCTAAAGTGGTTCTCATTAAGCCCCTTTTTTTTGTTTTTCAAATTGAGAAATCCCTCAAATTATTGATTTCTTAAGTTTCCAGGCGCTGCCATCGTTTACTAGACACATACACACAACACACAGGCACATGTTAGGAAATCATTGGTTCTACCAAATAAAAATTATTTAACGGATGTCTTTGGTTATTATGATCGATCGACCGGCCACGACAACAGCTATTGATCACTATGCGAATAATTGAAACTCGCTAACTTTATCGGATTCAAAATTGTAATTTATCAAGTGAACTGTCAACGAGTATTTGGCTTTAAATCTTTACTCGGCCGTTTCCTGTCTGTGTTATACTTAGCAATAATCAATCTAGTTACAACCCTTATCGATTCACCGCTAGACAATGGGTTTTATTTAACTTGAGATTTGTCTAGTCTTATCACACAATCCGTTCATCGGAACACGTTTCTTCCGCGGATAGGTCCGAATACTATAACTTTTGTCGATAAATTCGATATATGTACTTGTAACCTACAGGCGGTATAAATTGGGTAAATAAAATGCCGGTGCAGGAAATGGATACAGATAATTTATGTCGAACGCAAAACTACATCTACATCTACTTTACACGGTAACCGTGGTAATAATATCATCTTCGACCTAAGGCGGTACAAAATTATTGCGTCCTGTTTCACGTCATGTATCTCTTGAAACATGATGTTGATTCATAAAATATATATGTAGCCAACAGTTATGTACGCCCACGTAAAACCAGTGTACTAAGTAAACACTGTATAATAAAATACTGTTTGGGAGTAATAAACGCGCATTACCCGAATAATAGTCGAGGGCCACTTCGGCCAATTCAACGTTTAACACTAGAGTTTTTCAAGTATAACTCCAAAAGCTCATCTTAGTGTTTTGTCCATTTCAACCATGAATGTGTGCTAGAATTATTATTATTCTGACTAAGTACGTTAAAACAATTCTATAATTTATTTGTTATATAGTCGTATTAGTTCTAAATGTCTATGGAATATGGTTTAGATATAGTATTGTAACATATACCACAACAACAAAGTAGGAATTTTGTGAGTTGAAGCCTAAAAAATTAGACTGAAGGTAGATCTACAGTGGGCTATAATATTATAATACATAAGTCTGTTTAAATCTGATCGTTTTCCGGCAACAACTTGTCCATATATAGTTTAATGACGTCAACGGAAATATCGATTAGTATTGGACTAAGTCCCAATTAAATAAGTTATATTGTCATTATTTTTTGCATTTCTATGGCCATTTTTATATTGAGTTCTTGATTGTTTTTTTTCTTCATATTTTAGAAGTTGAACTGATTTCATATTGTGATTTGTTTCCAGCGCATGTGCTGCTATTGATAGGCGATTTCTTGTGTTTTAATATTTCTTATATTATGCTCTTTAAAATGTACCGCTACATTTCTTCTAGTTTGGTCAGCATAACATATTTCACTGTCTTCACTATCAGTTTTGTAAATACCTGATTTTTCTTGTTTGGTTAATTTATTTGTTTTGTTTCCTAATAAGTCTCATAAGCTGTTGCTTTTAACGGGACTAACTTGACATCACATTTTTTGAAAATATGTGACAATTAAATTTGAAATTAAAATTTTTTTTTATATGGTTAAATATTGCTACTACATAATTATTGTATCAACTTCTTTTTTTAAGTCTTGTTTATCCATAGAAATGTTTACTAATCTAAATCCATGCTATGCTGCCATATTTTGTTGCAAATAACGATTTAATTTTATCGGGATATACATTCTAAAGGTGTGAGTTTCTTTCGTAAACATTTCATACTTCGACTGACAGTTCACACTTATAATCAGTAAAGGCAATAAAAAAAGGCAGTTTTCCATCATTTCCCGTTTCTTGTGTAAATTTTACTGAAGAATGTTGTGTGTTAAACACATCTAAAAAAATTAGTTATGTAATATGTAAAAGTCTTCTTCCATTATCGCAAAAATATCATCAACGTTTGGTAAATTGTGGCTATTGTGTTTTTCACAAGATATTGTAGGCCAAATTTGTGTTTTTTTTTGTGTGTAGAACAGAGTCGTCGTACCGAGATTCCGCTTTTTGTATAATATTTTAAACTTTGTTTACTTGGATTTTCAAACTTTTTCAACAGGTAAACGAGAAAATACATAAAACTATTTTTTTAAAACTTTGTGCATTATGGTATTATAATTTATAACGCCGCAAAAAATATGCTTCTAACTAAATTCTGAGTGTTGAGAAAGTATGTTTTAAAGAGCAATAGTAAGAAGCGAAAGTCTTAAATGTATTTTGTATTGTACTCAAGTCACAAGTTATTGCCTTTTATTTAAAAACCCATCTAAAGCCAAGTTCATGGAGTTTGAATTAACTTATTATAATTAAGTTATTGATAAATCAATCGACACAATCTAAGCGCCGTACACTCTGTGTCTAAACAATTAGTACAGTTTCAGTAAACACACATATTTGTACATTCCACGTGATCTAATATAAATGTTTTGGAATTGCGGGTGGCTCGTGATTGCATCTTTTGTCCCGTTAAAATATGTACTCGGTTTGAAATAAATTAACAGCGTTCGCGCGGGTTCCCAACCAGAGTAAGTTGAACAATTTGGCCAAGATAGAAAATTTGAAATTTGTGTATTGTGATTTCCCACGACTTAACTGAGTGTCGAGTAGTATGCGAGTTGTAAATTCTTGTATTATTAAGATAAAAGGTTTCATTGTGGTCTCTTTCGGAGGTAGTATTTGAATTAGTCTGATTAAATTGCTTAAGCAATTTGTAAGTACCTAGTATTTAAATATTTGATTTTATAATAGTTTTTAATTCTACACACCATTTTGAGCTTTCTGTCCAGGCCTATTTATACAACCATTTTTATAATGTTATATTTGGTACCTTGTTTATTTAAATTAAAAACGGCAACATTTTATAACCGTTTTCACATTTTTCATGTTTATTGTTAAAATACTAGTAAATCATGTTTGAATAAAATTTATTAAGTTAATAGAACAATACAAACCTACGAAGACATTTGGAAATGTACTAAATAGCAGTGGCTCATAGTGAAATGTAACGATAATAATATTGCATGTTGTACGTTTTGTCTGATGCATGTATAGACTCTCCGGTGTTCTTGGCTAGATGTAATTAGAAACGAGTATATAAGTAATAATTCTAGTAACTACTAGAATATTGTTTCTATTATTGGTAATATCTAATTTTGAGTCTAGGCTGTTGCAATATACTTATTAGCTGCGCTTACATTTATCGTTGAATAATGATATTAATTATTATGCATATCACTGTGCTGTTGGTATCGTTCACGTGGAATTTCCATTCCAACGAATCCACGTATAACGTACAATGTACATAATATATTGCTTATTGGTTTTACATCGCCAGACGACCGGTCAATCGCGTACAACTTTTGAAATTTAATTACTCTTTGGTATTTTTTTGGTACGTTGAATTTTAATCAATGGCGAACTTGTGGCCATGCAAATAATTGATGGGCAATAACTCTACGATTACGTTTATTGAAATTCAATTGTATCAGTAACGCAAATTAGACCCTCAAATTAGACACGGTCGATTAGAAACAACCGCTGGCGCCGGCGTGGGGTTCAGTGGCTTGGCAAAACAGCGGCATATTTTCCTTGGTGTTTCGAAAACGCATTCATTTTGCTCATCCGGCAATAATCAATAGCAAAACCGTTGAAAAATCGTCACCGAGTCGTCGCCCATAAGAATAATATTAACCATTACCAATTATTTTGTCGGTTTTTCAACGTTTATAATTTGCCATTCGATTTAATTTTAATATTGATTCACTATAGCATATATATATATATATATATATATTTAGCTAATTAATTTACTATTAACTTTTCACTTGCTCAATAACGATAAAAATCTGTATTTGTATTGCTTACATATTATTAATATGTTAACAGTATGACAGTAATAATACTTGATATTGACAAAACGCATAAACGGTAGATGTTACTAGCAGAGATTGAAAACGTTACAAAATTTACTTTACAACTACAACAAATGTTGATTAAAATGATTAACAGTATGATTTTTTGACAACTTAACTTAAAATAATTTCAAAGTTAAGTTATGATGTATAAAAAATATTATTCCTGAAACGAAACGTTTGTATCATTTCAATAAGTATGACTTAACTTTCAAATGTTTTTGACTTTGTTGTTATTATTTTAGAATCAGTTGAACTATTAAAATATTATACTGTTAATAATGTTAATCAACATTTGATATTACTAATAATGTAAATTTAACCTACCACTCGCGAACGTTGTATGATCAAAACATTATATATATATATATTAAAACATTATATATATATATATTATACTATATTTCCGTATAGTCGCGTCTAATCAATTCGTTGTTGAAGAATTAATCGAGTTTTTGATTGTTTATAAAGAAACATGCTATAATTTTAGCCAAACTCAGCTAAAGTGCGAGACATAAATATCACAATGAGAAAAGTGTTCAACTAACATTTGCCGCTTCTGAATTGGTCTAATTATTATTCTCTGTTTATGGGTATAAACATTTCCAAGAGCAATCTTTTAATATGTATTTATATATACTTTACACAAAACAAACTTTGGATAGGTTGATTAATAAATTAAAGTACCTGAGATATATTTAATTACATCAATAAATTATACAGAATTGCTCTTTAAAGTAAGCACTTTGTGGAGTTTAACATAATTATCTTATACATTGGTGCTAGTGAACAAAAGAAAAGTGACTCACATAATAACTTCCATGTTCCAAAGACTATGGTGGCTAATAATTGCATATAAACGGTATAATCGTTAAAGTTAAACACCTTACTAATAATCAAGATGCATATCATTTAACAATAATAAATAATACAAATTATTATTTTTACGTTTACAGATGAATTAACAAATTTATTAAGAGGTTAGCAATCATTTAAAGACATCGTTTTTCAACAAAAGTTGAATAAGGTAAGAAAAGTTTAATTTGTTTTTAGACTTAAAATTACTAAATAATTAAAGCAATTACACAAACTCTCATTGCTTGTTTTATCTTCTCTAGTTATTGCACTCAAAATTTCAGATGATTTTTTTTTTCTTTTTGGGTCAGGTGGTGGGTAATTTTTTTTATTTCAACATTATTTTTATATAAATTATATTTTATTTGTATCGCTGAGTGATGTTTTAAGTAATCCTCAGAGAGCGTTAAATGTTCTTAAATCTCTCAACTGGACTGGAAATGGTAAAAAATATCAATAACTTTTAAATACTTTAAATAATCTAAAAGAAAATATTTGAGTAATCACGCATATATCTTTGGTTATATAGTTGGCATTATTTATCATAATATTATAACAGCATTTTTTAAACATTGATTGCCTGACCACCAGCTGTATTTGTAATGTTAAAAACGTAGGAGGAAAGAAGGAGGAGAAGAAGACTATAAAAAGGTGGTTAGATGCGATTGAGGTATAGGAATGATACCAGGACTGCTGGTGTATGCGAAGATGATGTGGGAAATGGTGTCGAGTTGAGGTTTAGGACAAGGCTGATCGGTCGCAAATAGTTAGGATGACTAACAAGAAGAATTGATATTTTATAAAAACATATATTTTGGTACGTAGATTTTATTGGAACATCGTCAAATCATGTAACAGAAACAATTATAATATATCTGCCATTCAACGCGGAATAATAATATATCTAATTTTTTAAAGGAACTAATTTAAGTTATGTAGTTAGCGTTTTACCGTCTTGCTGCACATTTGTTCGTGCTGAGGTTGTCCAAACACATAGCTGTTGTTTTACATCAACAAGACTGTTGTGTACATAGAAAATAAGGTGTGTTTCAACGGTGATACTCGAGGCTACAGCGCTTAAGAAAAGAACGTTTCCACTGTCGCGGAATAGTTGGATTAACTGGGAGAGAGTTTTACGATGACAGTGGCGAATTTCAAAAACGAAATACGAATACTGAGGGCAAATTGAATTATGCGAGCCCCGGGCTTGTGTGGTCCACCAGATGTTACCCGACATTGATACGTCACCAGCATCCTAAGCTCTGGATCGCTATAGGACACGGCTTCGTTAACGGTTCCTCTGGGCAGCCCTTATCAATTATCCAACGCGCTAACAAGATATTTCGTTTGCCTCCGGTTGTATTGCATTTAAAAACAATAACGCTGGAAGACATTTAGACACTTGCAGTGTAAATATCAGTTGTAACACGAGAAATTGAGCTAAATAGTCTTAAAAAGTATTACGACGGGTCTTGCGAAATAAACTTTAAAGTATGGCAATTTAAAACAGCGTTGTTTAGGTTGACAACCCCCCCCCCCCACCACATACAAAAAAAAACATTTGCTAATAATAATATTAACTGATCGATAACCAGTTTAAAATTAATTGTTTTAAAGTTATTTAAGATTAAAAAGGACGGCATATAGAGTGTTACCATATAGCCGTAGGAAGTTAAAAGATTCACCCGGTGTGCGAATATGGAGAGAAAGGATTTGACTGGCCCAACCCGTTTAGTGTCGTTTTACATCTTTTTTATAGTTACAAACTTATTTTTCTCTTTCTCGACTTATTTATTACGTTCAGCTGATGTTTTTCTTTGGCTTTTGGCTTAGTCAGTAAGTAACAGTCGGACCGGACGCCTTAAGCTTCTTCTTTATAACATTGCACACATTAATTTTGTAAACTATCCGTCGTATAGTTTGTCAAATTTATTTATTCCCAAACGAAACAAGACATTATTTTTTTTAACCTCGATAGTAAATTACTTTTTAAAATATTATCAACAACTTCTTTGATTGTATCGGCTTCCTAAACTAGTCGAATTACTTTGATAATTGCATTTACAACCGTTAAGTTATGAGAGGCAGACCCTTGTTTTTTAAATAATTTTTGGGCTCAATGAAACTTTCAGGCTATTGTCGTTGAAACTTTGAGAATTCAACACTGCCTTGTGGATTTTAGTCAAAATACATTTTTTTTTTTTTAATGCCACAAATTGTCTGTGGCCGGATACTACTACTTGTGGGCTTATCAGCGATCTTTCTATTGCCACATTTCTCTTAAATATTAATAATGTGTTCATCAAATCTCGTCTCCTCTTGGTGACTATTGATTTATTATGTCTAAAAACATTAAATAAACTGTTCTTCCACTGTCATTTATTGCTAGGTGTACCTACTGTATTGTAATGCATGGACTATGGATGTAAAATAAGCACTTTTCAGAGATTATAATAATGTAATAGAAGTCTGTACTTATACAACAGTGTTTATGCATAAAACATAAATATCCGCATGTTTAATAAAAAACAATTTGTAAGTAAATACGCATAAGGCCGTATCATGTGTTCGGTATATAAAATACAATAACATTTCTCATAGTCGCAAACGGCTCTCTCGAGAGATCGCAATTACTACGTTTACCTAACCTATAAGTTACATTACTCAAGAGTAAGTTATTCAATTTTAAATGATAATCCCATAGTGTACCTTGCAATTTAAGAGGATTTACACAAAACCCCAATGGTTTTCCCGGAGAGAAAACATTTTCAAAAGCGTTCAAACATTTTATTGCTTTCGCAATAACATCTAAAACTAGGTGAACTGTGTGCAATGTAAGACTATTGATTAATATAATATAATAATATTATTACAAAATAAAGTATTATATTTTTTTTGGATTAAATTAGCTCAATTGGTTAAATTATGTATATTTTTAATTTAGGCACCAATGTAATTTATCTGGAAAATTAAATTACCGTGAATGATTTGAATTTTAATAATAAATAGTGTAGCAGTAAAAACAGTAGGGAAATTGCCTTAAATACAGACAAATTATATTTATTAACCAATGTATGTATTAAATTAATAGAAATTATACTGGTACCTAATCTAGTCGATAATAGTTGTTCGACATATATTTTGTTTAATATCAATTACACCTTGATTCCATATTTTGTTTTTTTTGTTAATTTTCACACGCTTCATTCATTAGCCATGTTTCAAGTAATTTAACTAAAAAAATTATTTCCTAAGAAAAGTGTATACTATTTATCCAAAAACAATAAAATGAAAATTGTCAAACATTTGATAATTTTAAAACTTACTTAGCCACTAACAGAATAAATCCATATATATCTACACTATTAAAACACATACATACAATTAGGTATCGGGTCGGCCGTTTAAATTTTTTATAAAATACTCTAATAAATAAACTGACTATAGTGCTTTAATTAGGCACCAATTAAAATAATTTCAAAATGAATAATATTTTTTAGAATTATTGCAATTTGTTTTTTAATTATATTAGTCTTTGAAAATTTAAACAACTGTCTTTCAGATAAAAAAATTATTTATTCCTTTAAATCAACTCCTATTATTTGCTAAAATCTAAATGTATTATTAATAAAAAAAAAAATTATATTTTTCAGCTTAGTAGCTAATATCATTTATCTTTTATCTTTGTAATGTTTTATGCCCTTAAATTGTAGATACATTAATTTAAACCAACTTTTGAAATATCACCAACTCGTAATGATAATAAGTGTCTTCAGAACTAATTAACTACTTTAACTTTCTAGAGGGTTTTTTACCTACATAATAACTCACTAATAAACCTTTTTCTGTATTTAATTAAAAAAATATTAATATATTTATTTTAAGTCTTAGTACATTTTAGTCATTTGTACGTTCGTACATATTATAACCTTAATACGAGTAGATACAACATGGTATGAAAAGGAACTCAAATTTGCTTCATAGTTTCATTGAATAAACTATTCAGTTACCATATTATCATTTGTTCTTACTTCATCCAGAGACTATTTGGATATTTTTTACATTGATATATTATTTTGTAATCATGCACTTTCATGTTATATTGTAAATAGTCTACATAAATAATTCACATGTATCCACGGAACTGTAAAAAATAAATCAATTCTCACGGTGTTATTTTTTGAAAATCTGTTATTGTTCTGGGAATTTTGATTTTTGCTAGTAACATAATGCAGGTATTACATATTTGATTCAGTGTTTGTGTGTTTTATATATTATCCTTTTTGAAATTTACAAAGTTAAAGTACTCAGAAATGTCTAATATATTGCTTTCGATAACAGTAATTTCGGTTGTTTGCCCATCAACGAAATGTATTCTGTTTGCTAAAGTAACATAAAAATACATTATTATAATAAAGTATATTATAACAAGTAAAAAAAAACAAGTTAAACTCTATTATGGTAAATTAAAAATTGTATGAAAAAATAACGGTAATACGATTATTATTTACTTATTGTCTCCTTTGAAAAAATGCTCTTGGTTTTTACTTATTAACGTAATAAAATAACTCAGTTAACATTGTTTAGTGACTTACTAACGCACTTATAGCCGATGCTGATGTTCATAATTTATTTATTTTAAAAAATGAAATTTATTTTTATAAAACAAAATTAAAAAACTAATTTAATTTAAAACAGTTTATAGACATTTTTTCTTATAATTAATTTTAAATTCCTCTGGACTGACTTTAAGCTTTACCTTATCTCGTGAAACAGGGCCGATCAGCCAAATCCTTTCTCTAATAAATTTATCATAATATTCTCACTGACTACATAAAACATACCTGAACCATCTCAATATTTTTCTGATATTAGCGCAACTCCTAAACTATAATTCTTATACACAAGTGTTTCAAAATCCATTAAAAATACTTCCATTTTTATTTTTTTACTGCTTTATATGGCGTCCTTTTGTCACATGACATAATAACTGTCGCTAACCTTTCTTATTTTATCCAATCACGCTTTATTCTACCCACCACATCTTTCAACACAAAAATCAAGAAATGTTTGTTAGCAGAATTGTGCTAATATTCTTTTTTTGTGTATTTAAAACAAACATGTAGTCTTAAAAATTTGAATTAAGATGCAAATGTTTGTGTTGATTTCACA